CTGTAAGTTCCCGTTTCCACCCAATTGATTCTGGTCCTGCTTCTTAATTTGATTTTTGTTACCGCCCTTAGCATGAGGATAGCTATAGTCTATGATTTTGACACCCAACTTGCAATTTCTTTTTTCTCTTTAGATATCTATATGCTAGTAGATATATAGTGGCCTTTCTAGGGTGTGTTTGAGCCGCTACAATACGTCATCGTTGTGGCTAAAATACCATGACATATAATTAGAAAACTTTTTAAAATTATTTTAAAATTTTAAATAAATTTTATTTTTTTATTATATTAAATTAAATTTTTATTTTTATTTTAAATTAAATAAATTTAATTACAATTAAAATATAATCGATTATTTTATACTTACATAACCCTAATATAGATAATAAAAATTAAAAATATTATATAATTGTGTTATCATGTTACGTTAACGTGATATATCAATATATTATATTTATATGACATAATATATAATAATAAGTAATATTTTAATTAATAATAATAATTAATTATTAAATATAAAAAAATTTTATTTCAAAATAAAAATAAAAATTTAACAAAATTATATTTTGATAGAAATAATTTACATAATTCATGAAAATTAAATATTATTTTCCTTCACATCATCATAACAAACATACCTCTTTATTGACGTCCGTATTGGCTGCTGGGCTTCTCAACACGTGGTTTCCATTTTTCCGTTTGATGAAGACATGTGTGAGCGAATACAACAGGTACCCAAATAATCCATTTAATCAAATCCCCAATTAGACTTCAACAAATCATGCTTAGTGACATATACATTTTGCAACATGCGATTTTATTTTAATGTCAACTCTCAACATTTTTAATGTCAAATTTGATCAACTGCTTGGATATACAAAGCTCAACTCCTTTACTTTTATTTTAAGGAATTGGAATTTGAGGCTTAGTCCAACAATTTTCATCCTCCATGTGCAACATAATCGTGATGTCATTTGGATAAGAATACAATAAAAATTTTATATTCAAATTATAATAAATTCTTTTTTTATATTAAAAAAACCATAAATTATGACATAACTTTGTAGATAAACTAACTAATGAGAATATATTTAATATTTCCATTTCATTCAATACCATACCTATTATTCTAGATCCATTTTCACACAGAATATTCACTTCACTCATTATTAATTAGTGGAACTAGTTAATTAGGTTTAAAATTAAGATGGAAGTTTTCCATTTAAGAAGGATGACAATATAGCAAGAGCCCGAGCTGGTTCATTGCTTGGAACGTAATGCCTTGCTCCTCTTACGGTCACAAATGTAAGATTCTGGTACTGGACTGCATGCCCTCCAATCTTAACAAGTAAAGGAAATTGAGTTCATACTTGTTATATAGATATATATTAGTATTGAAAAGCTAATTAACCGAATCAATTAAGGCAATTAGGAATGAAAGTAGGGCCATGTTTTACCTCACCGTCGGTGTACAGGGGATGCCAGGGACTCTCAACTGATATATGGTCAATTTTTTGGAGTTGTTCTATTCCATATTTAGTTGATGTTACCGGCGCTCTGCCATCTACATCTCCACTGCAGAAAAGGTTCAAACAATTGGAACTACCTATTAATGGGTTCAGGGCAAAATTTAAACATCAGACACTGTTTACCTGCAGAGCCAAACGTTTATCCCGCTAGCCATCTACTGCTGAATGGTGGGCAACACTGTAAAGGGTGAGTCCCTCCAAGCTTGATTAATGCTGGGGCTGTTAAAAAATAACCAAAAAACTTTACTAGTCCGTGGATATCATCCACAGAGTATTGTTCTTTAGTATTTGAACAAGGCAGCTTAATACCTGCATGACTGCCATCGATATGGAATCCCAGTGAGACTTGCATGAAGAGATTTTTGCACTTGACGAGTGTTGAGGTAGAAATCAACGTAATTTTCTGAACATGGATCGAATCCGCAGCCCTGTTTCAAACGAAAGAATGAGTTGAAAATAACGTGGCACTGTTCTGCTATATGTCCCAAGAGTCAATTATAAGTACCCATCGTGTTTTGTTAGACAAACAGAGAGGAGCATAGCTGCTGTAGACGTCGATGTTGGAAAGATGCTTCCTAAACTTCACCATCGTAAAAGTCACGGTCTTCTGAATTTTTTAGGGAAGAAAAACTGCAACACGAAGTAATTCCCGCATGAACTTCATCTGAAATAAGAACATGGGTCTAAAAGAAATCGTACATCCCCCTGTTTGAAGCTTCAGAGTCGATTAATACATTACCCGTCTAAAAAATAAAATATAATAACACTTCCATGTAAGTTTTTAAGTGGCATATTTGTCTTGCAAAATAGTGTAAAATTACAATTCTGTATAAAATATACACAAGCTTAAACACTAAGGAATTCTTGAACTATATTTAATTATGCTATTAAACTTTTATTTTTAGTTTTTTTATTTTTTAATTTATACCCACGTAAGCTTTTAATCTCAATAAAAAGTTAATACTGTCTAATTCAATATAAGTTGATATTTTCTATTTACGTAATATATTGCGTGATCTAATAATAAAATCATCTAATCACTCACGTGATAACTAATGTTTTAGATGACTTAATATTATAATATGACCACTCCAACTACCACATGCTCATATATTCCGTGATATATCACATGAATAAAAAGTTAACTTTATTTAGTTTAATAACTGTTTCTTAAGTCATCAAATTAATTAATTTCACTTGGGTCATGAGAAAAATAGTAAGATTAATTAGAGCCGATTCAGACAACTTACAGCAATTCCTTTTAACATGATGACAGAATGGTTTGTGTTTTGATTATTTGGAAGGATTTTTTTGTGCAAGCTGAGGGATATAATGCCCAGCGTAGCTCTCTCCAGATATGAAGAAATCTCTATATATTTGTATATTCAGGAAACCTTTCCAGCCAATTAATCAGGAAAGTATAGTTATCTTCCGCAGTTTGGCTATCTCCACTGCGATAATAAATATCAGATGTTGTATTTGAATAAGAAAATCCAACACCAGCCGGAGATTCCGAAAAGAGAATATTTGCCACTGTTTTCGTCAAAACGAACGAATATATGTTTAATGTAACGATGGAAATCTCGTTTAACATGGAATAATAACAAGTATTTTTTTTTTCAGTGAGATTCAAGTCATTAGGGCAGGATTTGCCTTTGTTCCATGCATATTCATTGTAGGAAAGAGTTTTGCCATCAGGATTAACTCTAAATGGTCCTAGTTCTAACATTGCCCCATTACCAAATGAAGAACAACCAGATCCTGATGAACATTACAAAAGAACATAGATTAGAACCATTTTTACGGTTGTTAACCATAGAAAAAGTTTAGTATTTGGAAAAATCAGGGGTAACAAGAAAATTTTTTGCCTTCATTAAGAAACAACACGAGGTTTAGTGTCAGGTTTCTTCTGAGACTCAGCAAAATAAAAGAAGACTAGTCTCCTAGCTCCAGGATCAACAGTCACATACCCCGAGAACTGACTGACGTTGAATCCATCAGGTTGGCCTGGCAGAGCATTCATTTTGTCGGCATCCTTCAAGCCATCTTGACGTCCGACACAAACATTTGAAATTTTTGCATCGTTAAGACACAGAAGACAAGCACATCCGTTTCGATCGTTGAGCCTTGATGAATTTATCAAGAGGATCAAATCTTGTCCCCCCAAAACACAGTCCAAAGGGCACAAAACACGAAAAAAGCAAGCCGAAGACAAAGAGTGTGGCCTTCATTTTCTTGTGGCGCATGCTTCTTTTGCATTGAACGTTGCTTGCATAAGCTGCAACATCTGCAACTTAACGATTAAGGTTTCATATAAACCTTAATCGTGATTTGTGCTGGTATAGGGAGATTTATTTACTAACAAAACTGTATCATTAAATGAACATCTAAGAAAATTGTATCATTCATATTTTGACTAGAGCATGAAGATTTTTTATGGTTTCATGGCTGACTAATCCCTTGATAAGCTTACCATCGTGGTCAAATGTAAGCAGTTAGATTGATCCAGAATATTTTATAATTTAATTCCCACACTTGAATCTTCTAAAATTTTCTGGAATCAATTTTGAATTTTTATTGTATGTATGTTACTAATTTTAGATATATGACATGAGACGAATATTCAAGCAATTAGATTATCAATATTGTAATATTGTATTTAATATCAATATTGTAATATTGTATTTAATATGTTGGATGTTAAATTTAATTAGGTCGCATTCAAAGATGTCGAGAGTAGCTTTTCATCAAGTAAAATGCAAGTACGAAAAGCAGGAACCAAATTGGTGTTGTACATAGAATGAGGCTGCCTATAACATGGTCATGGAGCATAGGAGATCAAAAGTAATGTTAAACAAACGAGAGCTACAACACCACAGAGAAACCCAGACCAGGCCCCTCAATGAAGCAACAAAAGTAAAAGACTATAACTTGTAAACACCATAAGAATGTAGAATTGTATTTGCTCCAACATGTAGGAATCGGTGACTAAGTCCATCCTTCTTCATTGTCTGTAAAATTCAATTCTGAACAAATAAAAAATCAAAAAAAAAAAAAAAGAAAGAAAGAAGCTTTCCGACACATTAAAAAAAACACCTCTCAAGCACAAAACCCAAGTTGTCAATGACATATTAATACAGTTCTAAAACAACTCCAAGATTTAAAATAAAATTCAGCTACAAAATTCTGTGAAGATTCAGCTAAAGCAGCAAGCAAAACCCATCCTACTTAAATAATGAATCTGATGAATAAACTTAAATTCTCTCCGGCAAGTTCAGATTACAAGCCATTGGTAGTTGTTAAACCAACCCTCTTAAGAAGCACCAGGAACAGCAGCCGCAGCATACATGCTTGGGTCCTGATTTGGTGGTGTAGCATAGCCATAACCGTAACCACCATAGCCTTGCCCTCGATAATATCCCCCATTCCACTGGTTACCAGAATCACCTCTCCACTGTCAAAACCAGTTTTAAGAAGTAAGCTATGATATATAAACAAACAAAAACTTGGATGGGAAGCTAAGCTGAGTTACTCGGGAAAACAAACAAAGAAAAACAATTGCAGAAGGGTGGGTGGAAGGAGGGCTGCATTTCCACCTTTATTAGACTGTAGTACAACTCATGCTATTCTATCAAATATGCAATCAAGGGCAAATTAATTAGGACTTAGCAAAGAATTTCCACATTTTACTTTTCATTCCAATGGACGTGCAGAATATGAAGTAACTTTCTTCTATTCCTTTTCCCTAGCATCAGATGCGTCAACTGCCTTAGTTCTTCCGTATTACAACTCATGCTATTCTATAAAATGATGCAACCAAGGGCAAATTAATTAGGACTTAAAAAAGAACTTCCACTTTTTATTTTTCATTCCGCAGGATGTGTAGAATAAAGAGTATCTTTCTTCTATTCCTTTTCCCCAGCGTCAGATGCCTCCAATGCCTGGCTTAGACCTAGGAATTGTAAACCCTCCAAGCATTTTTGCTTGGAGGAAGGCAGCATTAGGCCATAAGGGGGTAGCCTACTAAGAATATCGACTTTGGCATAAATTTACCTGCTTGTTTCCTAGACTGCGACCCCAAGAGAGACGAACAGTCTGCTTGCCTATGGTTGTCCCATTCAAACTCTGAATTGCATCCTCAGCATTCTTCCTAAAAAGAGAACAGAGAATGTGATCATTACATTGCTATGACGATCAGAATTAAATGATAATATAACCATGATACCAACTATCAGAAACCTATCACTCTGCATGACTTAATCTAGACATGCCCATCAATATTGGGAAGGCCGGTAGAGCTGCAAATCCTTAAAGTAACCACACTTCAACATAAGGTAAGTACAATCTGGTGAAGTAAACATAGGGAGGCACCTGTTTGCAAATTGCACAAACCCACAACCTTTTCCAGGTGGTATTTTTACAGAGATGATGTCACCAAACTGGGAAAAAGGTTGTCTGAGATCATCATCACTAACATCTGAGTCAAGTCCTCCAACAAATATCTGCAGAGACATAACTTCGTTATCAATGCTACATATCAGGGTGAAGATGGACAAAAGGAGGCAGAAGGACTCACAGTAGCATTGTTTGAGTCATTATCAGATTGAGACCCTTGGGCCACAGCACCATTTGATCCATGACCACCAGCCAATACCAAAGCTAACAAAAAGGAGAATATAAATATAATGATCCAATTTAATAATTCTTACAAGTTCCTAAATTTAATACAGTGAAATGACAATTTTACTATTTAGAAAAAACTGGCTCATCAGTCATTTATTCAAGTGACAACAGAACATGATGACAAAAACAGGTTTCTTCAAGGAATAAAGAAAATCCTGAGGCCTTTATGCACCAAAAAAAAATTCCAGATGATGAACCATTTTGAAATAGCATAGTTCACATTACTAAAAGATGCTTCAGATTTAGAATTTAATCTTAGAAAGTATAAAAAGGGGGAAAGAACAGAATACAACTCCTCTGAAATGCCAGTGTTCACTAATGAACAGGATCAGGATACTCCACCAAGGTTGAAGAGAGGAAGATTTACACAGAAGGCCACCCAAGTATCAATCCCCTCACCCCCAACCTTATTGCGGAAATCATATAGAACCCAAAAAGGGCCCCTATGATTTTTGACACTTCACAATTTTATTTAAAACAAAACCAATTTGGTAAGGATATAATATTAAGATACCTTGTGAAGAATACTGTTGTTGGTATCCAGATGCTTTCTTGGGAGTAGCAACACCAATTCTCATAGGTCGACTTGAGCAATATACGCCATTCATTTCAGTCATGGCCCTTGACCTTTCATTTTCATCACCGAACCTAACAAAACCGTAACCTTTTGAACGACCAGTATTTGAATCAATAACAACTTTTGCTCCTTTAACAGATTGAAATCTACTAGAAAAGGTTTCATGCAATATCGTATCAGTTACATCCGCAGCCAAATCCCCTACAAATATAGATAGGTCAGAACCAGCATCCGATCGCCTTTCATTCACACTGAATGAAGCCCAATTCAGACGAAAAGGTTGCTCCGTATTTGGCATTACAGAGCCATTAAAGCTTTGCAAAACCTTTTCAGCTGCTGCACGTGAGTAAAACTCAATGAAACCATATCCTTCAGACTGACCAGTTTGCTTATTGCGTATAATCTTTACAGAAGAAACCTGGATTTTGAAAGACTAAATGTCAGTAAGCAAGGGCATAAAGATGATGACAAGAAGAACATATTTACTTAGGATAGCCTGTCATCTGGATAAGTCAAGTAAAAAGTTCAAATGATAATGGTATTACACCTCAAGAATATAATCTGCAGTGAGCAGCTATCTTCCCAGAAACTAAAAGTAATGAAATCCATTGCAAAATTTCAAATTTCCATAAATACTAAAAGATAAAAAGTCTTTTAAGCCCCTCCTCCACCCTGCTTCTTTGCTGATAGGAATTCAACACAAGCCAGGAAAAGAAGAAAGCTTAGATCATGGGTACATGAAAACTTTCTCAGAAATAAATGCCAAGATGAGCTGAGCACTTTCTTTAAGATGGTGTCCATAACTTCACACTAACACATAACCATCTCAGTAACTGCTGAATCCAAATCAAGGGAATTTTTATTTCATGTGTACAGCAATGAGTTATATATGTTAAAGATCTCGTGTTGAACAAAAAAGGTTATACCAAAGGCTTAGAGTAGTCTGTGTAGCAAGGGAAAATGCATTTTAAGCAAAATTGATTTTGTAATCTGGCCAGCCCTCCTAACTCCCAATATCAAAAGATATTGCATTTCTAGTTTCAGAACAACTTGAGACACTGTTATTGCTTTGGTTTTTAGGACCTGGGGATTTTTTATAATTAAATCACTTCCAATTCATGTTAATAACATGAGATGTGATTTTCAAAAAAGAAAACCTGAAATGTGAACTGACTTAACCAAAACCTAATCCAATAGACAGTGGACACAAGGGCATAAATAGACTTCTCACATTTATCCAGTACTAATATGATGGCAATTCACAATAGTCTGTTCAGCTTCCAGAAACATTTTTTGTCTTTAAATTAACCAACTTAAATGTTCTTGACAAAAAGTTTAGGACACAAATGTAAATTACCTGCAACATCTACAACTTAATTAAATAACCATTTCTAAATAAATTACCATAATTACATTAACAGATATAAACCACAAACTTAACATTCATTAAATCTTGAAAATGAAATAAACCACAAATCGTCTACAACATACTTCAATGATTAATTACAGCGCATTTTCCTTTATCCTAACATTGATTAGACCACCATATTTATAAGAAATACTTTCAACTGCGACCCATTTCATATATTCAGTTCAATTAATTATTTTCTTAATATAGCATAAACCTCAAACCTTAATTTTCCTTAAACCCCATAAACATATAAAACCCTCCAAACAAAAAATGACAACGAAGTCACAAAACCAAAAGATTCCTTAACCCACTAAAAAGGATCTAACGTAAGATTCATAACAATACATATCCATCATATCATGTTAATGGTATTATTGTTTTTTCACCTCTCCAGTGTGAGAGAAGCAACCATGAAGATAAGTTTCATCCATCCAATGAACAAGGTCACCAACCCAGATCGTTTTAACCTCATCCGTGTTAGATCCTTGCTGCTGTTTCTGTAAGTAGCCTTGCAGCTGCTGCTGGTTTTGTTGCTGCTGTTGATATTGTTGGTATTGAAAATGATGATTATTGTAAGGCATGTAATGATGAGGGTACATCATCATCTGCTGCTGCATCATTACCATGGCAGCCGCCGGGTATTGCATGGCTCCCATCCACTGGTTTGGCAACCACTGCGGCGGCTGCTGCTGCTGCTGCAACTGCTGGCTGCCTTGTTGCTGTGGCGGCTGTTGTTGTTTTGAGTTCAGATCAGGACCATTGGTTGACTGCATCTTGATATGTAGATAATATAACCTGATCTGAGACTGGGTTTTCTTTTCTTTCTCTCTCTCCGCTAGTAGGCAAACGAGAGAAAGAAAAAAAGAGAGAGAGAGAGAAGCGTCGGTCAAGGGAATGTAAGCTTATAAAGGGGGGCGGTGGATCTGAGCAATGGGTAAAAATAGCGAGGGCCTTGGTTGCAACGTTGGTGGTTGTTTGCGTGTTTTGTTGCCGTCCCGTGAGTTTCCACGGGGACCCACTCGGTGGTCTTGTGGGGTATCATGCTGACCTGGACGGTGCAGATGCAACCGGCGGTCCAATTAGACCCCGCTTTACTAATTATAAATAATGATTAACCAAGTTAAGGAAAGTTTCCACTTCTTGGATTTGGAAAATATAATGAAGACCCATACTTTCCACATTTAAAACAACATAGTAATAAATTTCCTATTGACTTACATTTCAAGAATTAACAAAGTCAGCCTAGTAGACATGCAGGTGCAGATGTTACCAACAGAAGCTTCATGTTGTTTTTAAGTATACCACATCATTGGAGATGTTATCAGATAAAGATATCTGTTATTTCTAAAATATCTTAATCTGAATTTTATTATTTGTTAAGATTCATAAACTGTACAAATATGCGATTAACTTGTTAAATTATTGTTCAAATTCGTACTTAATTTCGTTATTAAACTGTTTTTTTGTTTTAACTTTTTATAGAAGAAGCACGGTTTTGACGATAACGTGTATCTACCCCTGAGCACAAGTACGCTAGCGCTTTCTTCAAAAGACGTAAGTTTTAAGGAGTGGCATTGGCCAATATCAAATGTGCTTACTCTTTTTCCATCATATTTGATGTAGTAATTTGTATTCCTTTGTCTGAAGAAGCTGAATTTCTATTTATTCTTTAAAAGGAAGATTCCATATAAAGATTTATTAGATAGTCTAAAAGTGTATGTTTCTTTTTAAAAAAAAAGAAAAAAGTCTTATAGGTTTTTGGATGTTTAATTTTGGACCCCAAATTTGTTAACCCCCACTTGACCCTTTCTTTATTGTTATTGAAATTCAAATCCCATTTAGTAAGGCTAGTGGTAGTGGATTCTCTCATCATTTTGCCTTTCCTGATTTTAGTCAGCCGTTTATCATAGGGGTGATAAATCGTAGGGTACCGAAATTGGGAAGTAGAGGAAGCGAATGAATGAATAGACATGGAAAGGACAGAGCACCGTTTTTGTTCACATTTGGGAATGAAATAAAATTGACGAGTTGGTGGGTCAAAAGCAAGGGCCGTCTGTGGGCTGTAAACTAAAAAGGAAAGCGTGTGCCACGGTTTTTGCCAGCTAATGCTTTAGGCCCTGGAGGCTGAACCTGGAACTTTCAACGTTGACACATCTTTTTCTCTTTTGGGGTTCGGACGCCACGCACGTACCCACTCTTTCTTCAGTCTAGGGCTTACATTGGTCTTGCCTGGCCTGGCAAATGAAGCTAGCAGGACAGCACTTCTTGCCAGAATAGCCGTGAGGGCGACAGAGCAACAGCCATTGAAGCAAAGCTAGTGCAAAGCATTTTAGTTGGCTGGAAACACCGCCCCCCTCCTCCAACTTGCCCAGTTTGCCAATAGCAACAACCGCACCAGACATCAACAATCTTCAAACTGATTCGTTTCTGCCTTTTCACGTGGATCTAATCCACCTTTAATGTAATCCCAGTGTTACACTGTCGTACATACGTGACATCTACTATACATAGAAGTATTACTATGTGAGTTATAGAGACAATTAAGAAGCCTTTTATAAAAGGGAGATGACATGAGTAATAAATAAGCTTTTCTTAAACATTCATCACAATAATCAATATTATCTGCAAGAACTGGAAGAGAAAAATGAGAGCACATCAATTTAAATTTATCTATTAGTACACTCAAAAAGAAATGGACGGACATGAGCATATACATCGCAAAAAGGCAATTTTCTCCTTTGATTGGCATAAATACAGCAGAGTTTCTCTGTTAAGTTAAAGCAAGAGAAAAACAAGAGTGGGGAAAAGAATGAATAGAATTCTAGTTGTGAGGTTTAAGGGGGAAAAAATCAGGTTTCTTAGAAGTTGAAAGCAAAATGAGCATGCTGCAGCCAAAATTCCAACAGGGTAGCTAGACAGGTTCCCCGTTGGCTCCTGCAATGATACAAACAGAAAATAAGGAGAAAAAGGGTCAATAGTAGAATGTACATCAGGCCAGTGCTTCACTTCCTGTAATCTCCATAAAGGTAATTTTCATACTGCGTTCCTTTGATTGCCTTTTGTACATCATCCCAATTCTGAATGTGATTGGACAATGATCCCTTGTGTATCTTTACCTGACGACTACTTAACTCCATTCTTGGAACCTTTAAGAATTCTTGAACCTCTACTAATTTCTGCGAGATGAACAGAATTAACTATCTTAAGAACCCACCCTTGGATAAAAAATACCTTAAGCAGAGCAAAAGATGAGCTTTCTATAATATTTTCTTTCTCTTACAGTACGGTTCTTTACTACATCCTCATAGTAAAGAATGATGTGCCGGGTGCTTTTGAAGTACTCCAAAGCTTTTTTAGTTGTCTCTTCCACCTGCCTTAGATTTGGAACAAGCAAGGTTGCATTGACTGCAGGCTTGTACCTAGCAAGTATCTCAGCCTGAAATCATTACACAAGAGTTAAAATTTTTGGATATGTGAGTTGAAGAGAGAGAGAGAGACAGGGAAGGAGAGGGATAGAAACCTCATGAGGTGAATGAACATGAGACTTGTGGGTTCCATTTAATAGCTTAGCATCCCGATCATAAGAATTTGCTAGTATTGAAATCATCCTGCGCAATTGATTCCTTCTAAAGAGAAAAATAGCTGAAACACCCCGAGTATTAAAGTATTCCACTATTTCTTTATGATGCTGCATCAAGCCCTGCAATAAAAGGACATGATCATCAATGCAACAAAGACAAGCATAATCACATATTCATATTACCAATTCCACACTTAGAGCAATGTGTGTTGACAAAGTACCACCTTTATAAATTGTTCCAACATATAGGAAGCTTTATTCGTTAATGAATATTTCCTCACAGCCATTGTTCTCAAATCATGAAGAAGACGTTTATCGCAAGGGCTTACAGATCTTCATAGGCAAGTTCTAAAGAAATATGACCTCATTAAGGACATTAAATACATGTTCTCTTGAGTCCCCCAAATCAGCCAATAAGGGGATAATCTCCTGGTTAATATACATTTTTTTCCACTTGTAAATGCAGGTTTCAACTACCTTAGTCCCTCACAAATGCATAAGCTGCCATCTCATCTTTCCCCTGTTTTTATTGGTTGCCAGAAACTTATCTCCTGTTTCCCTTTCAAAGTTTTCTTAGGTCTCTGACTACCTTCATTAAATGATATATAAAACTGATATCTGTTCACCATTAATGTATGGGTGAATATTTACCGATAATTGTGCTTCTCCTTAAAAAATGAATGGAACCTTAAGTAGCTACATCTAATAATGAAACTTTTATCAACTAGCAGTAATGATTATCTATTCAATTCCAATCTCTCCTGTCTCTTCTAAAGGCAAGGCTTTGAATTTCCTCCACTTCCCTAAATGGACACCCTACCATTTCAAGAAAGGAAGGTCACCTCTGGTCTAAATTCTATTGCCCCCTCTTCTGTTATCATGCTGGGAAAGAGAATATCTAGTAAGCTTGACATGATCCTTAAGGTCATCAAATATGTTAGGAGCCTAGAAGAGACATCACGTTTGTGTCCAGTTTACCCCCTTAACTCATGAACTAGAAGAAACACGTGAAGAGAAAGAAACTCCAAGAACTTGTGCAGGAGCTCTCCTCTCTTTATTGACCCACTTAAGAATTATTTACTGAATTATGATCAGCAATGTGACAGTTATACAGCAATCCATAGGCTAGGTTAAGAATATAAGGTTGGTGGTATTCTGGAATGGCAACAAAATCAACAGGATGCAGGGTTGTTTTACGGGGAAACATGCTAGGATGGTCATAGAATTAATTTTTTGGCATTAAGGGATTAGGTTTATGGTTACAGGGTAAATGCATCCGGTTGCTATGAGAATTACATAAAAAAGTGGATCTTGAATTAAAGATAATGGATAATTTCAAATGTGATTTTAAAAAAAAAATGAAATAGAGAAAGAGATCACGAGTTCACAACCATGCCTCCAGAAGCCAAGGAATCCATTAGTTGCATTCACCAAAATATTAAAAGCACATGCATATTCAAAATATAAAGGACGTTTTTCCTGGTTTCTTTCTGCTTTGTCTTTGATCAACTGGTTGTAAAGTTTGCTTCAGCACACTATATTAGCCATTGCTAATATGACTCTAGGTGGTATAGCTAAGGCTCTGCATAGCAGATAGACTGAAACATTTAGTTTAAGAGGCTACTCAATTCCTGTTCAAAGTCTCATAAGGGAAATAATATAATATATTTCACTAAGACCAAAGATTGCTGCTATAGCCATATTAGCAAATTGCAGTTAAACTCAAGCAATTACATTTCTGCCATGAGATGCTCACCTGATTAAGCATCCACTTCAAGCCAACTGCAGCAGTGCACTCATTTTTTGAGGCACTACTCAACCAGTCTAAATTATAAACTTTGTCCAGAGTCTCAAAAATCGAAGACACATTACTCCTCCTAACTTTGACAGAAAATATCTCTCCATTTGAGCTTATGTTAGTATGATTGTTCAATAACGTCTCAAACCATCCACTCCCAGATCTCTGCATTGACATTATAGCAAAATACCGGACAGGGTGGCATCGACATTCATCCCTGATCATGCACAACAAATCCCATAATTAAATCTTAAAACTGAAACCAAACACACAAGCAACAAAATCATTTAGTTACCTGCTATAAGTTTTGGGGTTTGGATAGTGTACGTAAGGAATTTCCCATGGCTGAATATTAGGTTCAGGACACGGCTTTTGAATCACTCCAATATTCAAAAACTCAGTGGTGCTACCAGTGCTTATTTGCTTCAGACAAATCGAGCATATATACACACCACAAACCATTACAAACAACAATACAACCATCCTCAACAACAGTGGAGACTTCTTTGGCGCCTTTAGGATGAAAGAATCCTGAAATTTAATGAATTAACGAGGTATTAAAAACAAATTAAACCACAAAAACGGATCACTTGGGTATTGATAATCCATGAAATGGAGCTCTGTGAAAGATAGGACGTGGGTATCTGCTATAGGACTAAACGCTTATCTGATTTAGCTAGAAAATCTCAGCTCTGGGTTGAATAAGGCATTAACTATTTAATTTAATATATATTTAGCATTAATTAATTGATCAATCACATTTAACGTTAAAAAAAATAAACCAACATGCACATTATAATAAAAAAAACACATCTTTCATGAAAATGATATCTGGGTGTTTCTTCTATCTCCATGAAGTGATAAAAGCAAACAAACCCCCTAAAAACATGGGTCAAAAACAAAGATCCTTTTCTCTGTTGTTACAGAAAACCCAGATCAGAATATTCACATGATAATAGAAAATATAAAAAATTAATAACAGTACCTTCAATCTCACTCTAGATAACGACAATGGAACAAACTAAACATACCACCAAAAAAAAAAACTGACCTTAATGAAGACACAGAGATCGTCGGCCATGGCTTTGAAAGCTCAAAAAGTAAGGTAATCAAAAGGCATTGGCAACTCCTTTGTCTATGGGTTTTCCTTTTTTTTTTCTTTTTCTTTTTTCACTCAAAGAGAGAAAAAGAAGCTTTTAATTTTATCTCTGGTTACTTTCATAGTATCACTCATCATCAATTTAATCCCAAATTTTTTTAAAAGGAAAGGAAAATAATAGAGAGATAAAGAAAAATGAACGTTATTGTCACCAAGAACAAAATGATTAGCTCTTTCTTCCCAAATACCGTTGATGAAGAACGCCCTGCTCTCTGCTTTTTCGCTTTTGCTTCATTTTAACGGATCTCTCTTGCGCAATCTGAACCTACAAATGCACCCGGGAAGTGTGAATGTACGGACTCGAAGCCTCGAACAATACCAGACGACGTCGTTTCATATACAAATTCCCGATGTTTCTGCTTTTGCTTACCTGTGGGGATTATGACTTTTTAAAATCTTTATTTATTTAAATATATTAACGGATTTATGCTTTTTCCTTGCCCACTTTTAATAATAATAATCTTACTTTATGAAAAAAGATTTATTGTTCCAATAATGTTGCTAGAGCTAATGATTTTGATTATCAAAAGCAAATTTTTACCTTTCTTACCAACCTTGTGAGTCCCACACGGTTTTGGCTTTTTATTTTCTTTTTTAATTTAATATATGTCTCTTTAGCAATGTTTTATTCAAACTTTACTTGTTTTATCTAATTTAATTTTTTCCTGTAAATACATACATTACAATGGAAGTACATTAAGATGCAAGATTCTTGTTTTTCTTTTTTGGGTTAGACTTCCTCAAATATACTAAAAACAGATTTTCTTTCCCTAAATTACTGATCTATTCACATTCTTTGCTATGGCTTTCCTTTTTGACCAATAAAAATAAATAAATAAATAAATATCACTTTCCTTTTAATTTTTATTATAGTAAAGTATTACCACATCTAGGTGTAAGTCAACAGCTTCCATGTATATTTAAAAATTATAGTAAGTGGGTATTATAATCCTATAATTAAATTCAAGGCTGCTGTATATGATACTATTGAACTTAGTTATATCATTCTAGTATACACATTGTTAGAACATATGATTGAAAAATTAAAAATATTAAGCAATCGCTTTAAAACATGTTTTGATTTTATTTTTTTAAAATTTTATCCGTCCTCACCCATTATTTATATCAGTGTATGAAAAAATTACAAACAATAAATTTTAAGATACAATGAAATTTAATGATTATTTGTATTTTGTATCGACAAAATTAATCTATTAAATATTTATAAATGTATGGTAAGATTATCAAATTCTTATAGATTTTTTACAACAAAACAATGTAGAAAGAATCTAAAAAAATTTGAAGAAGGTGAAAAGAGTGATTGCAAAATTTTTTGTTAATTTATTTTTTAAAAAACTAAAAAATTTTATTTATATATATATTCTTGAATAAACATAATTTTTGAATAATCAATAGATTTTCTTCCTTTCATTCTTTCACCGTTGAAATGTCTGACACGTATTCTAATAACAGTTTTTGCATTTATTAAAACTTTGAGACAGATTCACGAGGAAATTACTTTTCATTTTTCTTTTGACAAATTTTGGGTTAGCTTGGGACGTTAAAGTAAAAAGTATCTAACGTAGTAAAAATGAGAATTGTCCATATTGTACTTCACAGTAACTGAAATTTATTTGTAAAAAATAACTTTTATAACGCAAACTATAATATAATCAAATCATTATTTTGTACCTAGTTTATTTTAAGGGGAACCATGATAGACTTGCCTGCCACAGCAGCCATAGTCGTCATGAGAGGCTTGCTTTCCAAATCAGCAACATTGGGAAATCTGATTTCTTTTCTGTTGTTTTTGCTTAGTCCCACTGCCATGACCCGAATCTGAAATTTTTCTTGTATGGTACATGGTATCAATGATGAAGTTTGCCCCACTTTCTTTTGTAGATCCCCAAGCCTGTTGCTCGATTAAGCTCTTCACTACCTTTTAATTACTAGTATTTTTCTTTTGCAAAATAATAAAAGAAAATTGCATTTTATGTGATCATGGTTAAGCATTGCATCAGAAACTCAAAGACAGTGAAACAACGGTCAACAGGATGAAGGATAAATTCAACTTTACACTCTTTATAAATTTAAATTTTTTTAAATGAGATTTTATTTCATATTAGAATCTTTTTGAATATCTTTTTTTTTTGTAATTTTGTTTAATAAAATTATCAAAGTATTTTTTAATCTAAAATTATTTTATTTATCCATATTTAAAAATATATTTATAACCTAATCTCTTAAGAGAGTATAAGTTATCCATGTTATAATGTATTGTTAATTGAATATACATATATATATATGGGGGGTATGCTTTTTTATTTTAACTATTCCATAAATCGAGTTAAACAGAATTTTGAAAAAAAATTAAAAAAGTTATTTTTTAAAAACAAATACTTTAAAAAAAGCTTGAGGGGAAATTCCATAAGATATTTCCCTTCTTTTTTTTTAAACATGCTTTTTTTTATTCTAAAAATGTTATCATCTATTAAAAGTAATTTTAATATTACTCTTTACAATAATATTAACCAAACAAATTATTTTAAAAAATCTTACAAAAATAAATTTAATTTAATTTTAAAAATTATTTTTTTATAAAAATTTTATAATAATTTTTAAGTTAAAAAAAACATATAAGTCAAGCAAGCTCATAAAGCTTATTTTAAAATAAAAACTTTTGAGTCATATTGGTTATAGAAAATTGTTAAGACGTCATGGCTATTCGGGTCAACTTCGCTTTGGCACTTTCGTCCGCATTTGGTGACAATGAAATTCAGTTAAAAAGTGCAAATTTAGATCACACATCTTAAAACAATTTAATAAATATTGGCCGTAGCTATATTAAATATTTACATCAATGTACGCGCATTGGGCAGCACACATTAAAGCCAAATCACTTGTTTCTCGTTTTTCAAACGTACGAAAGAATATATGTATGAATGTAAAAACAAGACAATTTTAATTTATTGTTTGTATTTTTAATTCAGGATATTAAATATTAGAAATATACGAATCGACTTTGATGTATACAAATATATTTGAGAAGCAAATTAATTTGATTAAGTAATATTTTGCTTCTATTAGCACTGTCAACACGCGTTGTATATGTTCGATTAGCTATAGCTTCCGTTCTATAATAACTAGAGTTTGGTACATTCATTATCTAAAACCAAATTACACAATAAATTGTAATACTTTTTTATTTCATATAATATTCGAAATTAAAATTTTAAATTCTAATCATAACAACATCCTTTTAGAGACATTGCATTTAATTAATTAATATTTGCTTTGTGTGTACTATGTTATTTTGTTGATTGTTTCTTTTATCTCATTAAAATATATTACATGATTTCTTATATTATAAATTGATCATTATAATGGTCAAGTGATGAACTTTAATTAGTTTGTCAAATGTATTGATTAATTAATAGGTAAATCACATGAATCCAAAATCGTGATCAGTTAATATGCATACGAATATTAAATTTAATTTTTGATAATTTTTTACACGATTGAATTAAATCAATATGTATTAATTAGTTGTTAAATTGTAATAATAAAACAAAGTTTAAAAAAATACTTAACTATTTTCTACTTCTATTTAAATATTTTTAATATTTTAAAACATATATATATATATAAATTGGATACAATTGTTCTCATACGTTAAATAAAGAAAAAAGGCAACTTGATGACAAGAGATTAGATATTTTTCCGAAGAACGGAAAACGACGTCGAGTGGAAAAATAAATCCCCACCTGCCCGTCTACCTTTCCATCCAATAGTAGAGAGTCTCCATGGCTTTCAGCTCCATGAGAACATGACTATATTATCATTAACCTCTATATGTGGAGCCATACCTTCGCAAATTAGGGGACCAAAACCAGCCATTTCCTCAGCACCAGATATCGTTTTCCATCACCCACCTTTCTTGCAATATTTTGCCAATGGATTCAAGCACCGACAATGAGATAATCCGTGATTGTCCACCTTTCTTCAAAGTATACAAAGATGGGCGTGTAGAGAGGTACACGGTCACGACGCCTGCTCCCGAAGGCATAGACCCAAAGACCGGAGTCCAATCCAAAGATGTGGTGGTTTCACCAGGCGTCAAGGCCAGGATTTTCATGCCACAAACCAGAAGCCCGGGTAAGAAGCTTCCCCTCCTTGTCCACTACCATGGGGGCAGATTTTCCATAGGATCAGCCCTCGACACTGTCACCCAAAAGTTGCTCGCGCCACTAGTAGTACAAGCCAATATCATCGCCATTTCGATTGATTACAGGTTAGCCCCCGAGCACCTTCTACCAATTGCGTACGATGATTCATGGGCTGGGCTACGATGGGTTGCTTCTCATGCAAATGGACAAGGGCCCGATCCGTGGCTTAATGAGAATGCAGATCTGGGGCGGGTTTTCTTGATGGGTGAAAGTACCGGAGCCACTAGCGCCCGCTATGTTGCAGTCCAAGCTGGTGCTGCCAAACTCGTTGGTTTAAAAGTCATAGGGACACTTATTGTACATCCATTTTTGGCAGTAAAGAGCCTGATGACATACACAAGTACGTTTGCCCAACAAGTCCCGTCTTCGACCGCGACCCGAAACTGAACCCGGCTTGGATCCGAATCTGAGGCCAATGGCATCTGATAGGCTAATCGCCTTTGTAGCGGAGAAAGATGGGTTGAGAAGTAGAGGAGAGCTTTACTATGAAACTTTGGTCAAGAGTGGGTGGGGAGGAAGTGTTGAAATTTATGAGTCAAAAGGAGAGGATCATTGTTTCCATGTTTTACATGACAATGGCAAAGCTGAGGTCTTGAAGAAAAAGATAGTTGATTTTATAAAGAAAGAGTAAGATTTATTTCAGGCGATCGATCCATTATAATTTTACTTCATTTATCGCGGCATGCTTAATTTACCATCAAACCCGTTGCACCTCTAATTTGCAAGATACTCGTCTCTCTCTTTGAAGAGATATTGGAAACCCTTTTGGAACAGTTACGATCTTGGAAATGTTTCAATGGAGGTAAGATCTGGAAATTGGAGAGGAAGCTGAAGATACCGAATTTAATAAAGTAAATAAGATAATTAAAAAAGTAACTTACCGAGTTGCCGTGTCCAAATTCTCAACTCGTTCATTTCTTCCTTTTAGATTCCAAATTTAACTTAAAACTGAGTTAAAAGTGACATGCGTGCATCAATATACATGGTTCAAAACAAATTACTATATGACATTTTATTGTGTATGTACTGAGTTGATGCAAGGCTGCAAATCAATCTGCTATATTTTGTATAGAGATATCTCCTGATCATTCAGGGTTTTATATTTCCATGGCTAAATTAGTCGCATCTGCATCTAGCACTCTCACAGGTTAGTAATTTTAAACCACGACCAGTGTACCAAAAATCAAACCATTTGTGTTAGGTAAGCAGTTTAGTACTAGTACTATAATTTTCCTTTATATTCGTCTTACTTTTCGGACTTAAAAAAGCAAAGTGGACTTATTCTTCCCCCTCATTGATTTCTAGAGCCACTTAGCTTTAGCTAGCTATCTTCTTCTCTAAAATGGCTTCAAACGCCACAGAAATAGCCCGTGAGTTCGTCCCTTCATTTCCGCTATTCCGAGTTTACAAAGATGGCCGCATCGAGAGACTCCGTGAAACAGAAACAGTACCACCTTCCAATGACCCTCAGACTGGTGTTCAATCCAAGGACACCCTAGTCTCACCAGAATCAAGCCTATCGGCTCGCCTTTTTCTCCCCAAAATCGCAGATCCTACTGCGAAAATCCCTCTCGTCATCTACATCCATGGTGGCGCGTTTTGCATTGAGTCGCCTTTCTCCCCTATCTACCATAACTACCTCACTTCCCTTGTAAACAAAGCAAATGTGATAGCAGTTTCCATCCAGTACAGAAAAGCCCCAGAGTACCCTCTCCCTATTGCATATGATGATGCATGGACAGCAATCCAGTGGGTCGCTTCACATGGTAACCGAGATGGTCCTGAGCCCTGGCTCAATGATCATGCTGATTTTGAGAGAGTGTTCTTCGCTGGCGATAGCGCCGGGGCTAATATTGCACATAACATGACAAAGAAAGCTGGATCCGATGGCCTGATTGGCGTCAAACTTGTTGGTGTGCTTTTGATGAACCCGTTTTTCAGGAACAATGAGCCTGATGAGCTGATAGAGTACATTTTCCCTTCAAGCAGCGGTTGCAATGATCCTAGGATGAATCCAGCAAGTGCCATTAAGGAACTGGCTGGCCTGGCCTGCAGCAGGGTACTGGTTTGTGTTTCAGGGAAAGATTTCTTGAAAGACAGGGGCGTTGCTTACTACGAAGCAGTAAGAAAGAGTGGATGGGATGGGGTGATAGACATTGTAGAGACTCCAGGAGAGAATCATGTGTTTTATTTATTTAACCCAGCTAGCCAGAAGGCTATGGATTTGATGAATCAAGTATCGTCCTTCCTAAATCGTTGATGCCCCCCATGATCACTGAAAGTCAGAGTCTACATCGTTGAAATAAAAATCCGCCTGTATAATTTAGCTAATAATAGTGAAGGTACGCTTGGGCTTGTATTTTTTGTTTTCATAACTAAGGTCAGCTTGTCTTCAAGCTTCTGTCTGTTATTTAAGCTAATTAAGTTTCCTATTCTATGAAGTTCTGTTTATTTCCCTCATTCCTCTTTCTAACTTTCGCCGGCTCTCCCTCTCCTACCGGCACAATCCACCCCCAGAGATATTCCGATCGAAACATACCTTCTTCCACAGACTCCCAAACAGGTGTCCAGTCTAAAGACACGATACTCTCTTATAAGGAAACAATTAAACAATACTCTTTCTCCTTATACTCATCCATGGCGGTGCATTTTGTATTTCGTTCCCTTACACTCCTTTCAATCATAATTACCTCAATTCTCTTGTCAACAAGGCTAATGTGGATGCAGTTGCTGTCCACCACAGAAGAGCTCCAGAGCCCCCTGTGACCCTGTCCCTACTGCATTTGATGCTGCCTGGGAAGCAATCAAAGTGATTTGCATCTCATATTCGCAAGGATGGCCCAGAGCCCTGCTGACTCTTTGAAACGTTGAAAGTTATTTATGATATTATATCGATACACTGACTCATTTTTTTATTCTATTAAAATTCAATATGTTAGAAAATGTTTTTCTGATACAATATTTATAATTTTTTTAGGATAAATTATGATGTAAGGAAATGTCAATGAAATTGGAACCTGGAAATATCGGACAGACAAATAAACTAGACGGTGATAAAATGCCAATGGAGATTGGAGAGAGGTCCAGCCAGGCATGGCAACAACGGGAAGGGGACAAAGGTTTATAGCCAGTTTGTTTCTTCCTGTGGACTACTAATATAAGATTTTTCTTGCTCTCATTTTCTGTTACTAATTCCATCGTTGGGGACAATGCGAGCTGTCGCTACATCCTTACTTATCTTTCCTGACTTTCGTGCGTAGTTAGGACAAAGTGAACCTCCAATCTCTGAAAAGTCATCTCTACGTGATGACGTTTCTAGGTTTTACTGCTCCCTTCCTTCAATGTTCCAACTTCAAACTTCAATCGAGAATGACAATATTGTAATTGTTCTCCCTTTTTATTGGTCGAAATATTCGCTGGATGCCGCTTTCAAACCAAACTTTAGATTTTTCCATAATCGGTTGCTTCTAATGGCACATTTGATTCACAAAATAAAATAAAATAAAATAGACATTTTAAGAGCATAAAATATATTAAAAATGGAATAAAAATATTATTATATAATTTAATTGATAGAATAAAAAAAGAAAATAATAATAATTATTATTTATTATAGTGTTTTATTAATAAAAATAATTTTAGAATAATAAAAGAATAGAAAATAAAAAGATGAAAATATTTTTTATTATAATATGAGATTATTTATTTTTTACTTAATAATTTAAGTTTTTTTATAATAATATTAATAATTAATAATTTAAATATGAATATTTTATTTATAATTTAAATATTATTATGATTAAAATATTAATAATTTTAATTAATTTTTAAAATGTGAAATATTATTTTTTCAAATATATAATTAAAAATTTAAACTTTTTTATAATAATATTAATAATTGATAATTAAACATTAATAGTGTATTTATAATTTAAATGTTATGATGATTAAAATATTGATAATTTTATCTATTTTTAAATTTAAAATATTTTTTTGTAATATATAATATTTAATTTTTAAAATTGTAAAGAGTATTTTAATCTTTATCAATTTTTTAAAAACATTTCTCAACTAAGGAATCGTTAATATCATGGAAAGATTAGTATTAGTTATTTTTTAATTTTAATTAATTTTAAAAAATAATCATTCCAAAAAAAAGTGGCTATTCTTCAAAGGATTGGACAACCAAATAAAGAAACAAATGTTATCTAGAAGCACTCCCCCCAATCAATCATGCCATAAAGTGTAAAAACCCCCTAGGGGATGCGTAAAATCAGTAGATACGGGACTTTTTGGCTCTCATGCTTCCCACCGTTCTGTCAAAAGATAAATATTCTCTTGTGTGTTCCGCTGGAATCGCTCTAGCCTCTACTACGAAACAAGGTCCCTCCATCTGCGTGCTTTGCTCTCTTATTTTTCACCGCCATGGAGTCCACCACGTCGGAAATAGCCATCGATTGCGCTCCTTTGCTTCGTGTATACAAAGATGGTCGTGTCGAGCGGCTTTTAGGCACTCAGACCGTCCCTCCAGGCCGTGATCCCAAGACAAACGTCGAATCCAAAGACGTTGTTTTTTCACAAGAAACTGGCCTATACGTCAGGCTTTACATCCCAAAAGGCATCAGATCCTCCAGCCAGAAACTTCCTCTTCTGGTGTATTTTCATGGTGGAGGTTTTTGCATAGAGACGGCCTCTTCTCCTACGTACCATAATTACTTAAACTCCTTAGTTTCAGAAGCTAACATCGTTGCTGTTTCGGTTGATTACAGAAGAGCCCCCGAGCACCCTATCCCTGTTGCTTACGACGATTCATGGTCTGCCCTTAAATGGGTAGCTTCCCATTTTGGTGGAAATGGTCCTGAAGAGTGGTTGAATTGCTATGCTGATTTTGATAAAGTTTATTTATCAGGGGATAGCGCTGGTGCTAATATAGCGCACCACATCGCCATTAAAATTGGCAAAGAAAAGCTGGATGGTGTTAATCTCGTTGGTATTGTCTTAGCACATCCATATTTTTGGGGCAAAGAACCTGTCGGTGATGAGATTAAGGACCCAGCTGTAAGGGCAAAGACAGAAGAGATTTGGCGTCTGGCGTCTCCTACAACGAGTGGATCCGATGATCCATGGATCAATCCTGTCGATGATCAAAGCTTGGCGAGCCTGGGGTGCACCAGGGTGCTTGTTTGTGTTGCTGAGAAAGATTTATTGAAACATAGGGGCTGGTACTACTACGAGAAGTTGAAGAAGAGTGGGTGGGGAGGAGAGGCGGAAATTATGGAGGCCCAAGGAGAGGAGCATGTGTTTTTTTTGGCCAAGCCCACTTGCGAAAACGCTGTGGCTATGCTGAGCAGGGTTGCCGCTTTCATGAACCAGGATAAGGCTTGAAACGAAGCACTTGGGGTTAGTATCCGGTTCCAGTGCGGCACCACCGACCTTTTGTCTTGAATTATGTCTTCTTTTATCTTTCGATAATAACATAAACAATTTTCAGCCAAATATGAAAAGGCATAAGCAACCTCTTACTCCTATGGAAATTGAGGTAATCAAATTAGTATAATTTTGATTTCAATGAGAATGCTGGTGTTTGGTCATCTAGATTGAATGAAATATGAAATGGAATGAAATCTTATTATATTTATCCTTAATCAGATTTTTGAATTCTGATACATATATTTACGCTCCATTGATTGATGTTAATTTTTTTTTAGAATATTGATTTTAAGAATGTGCTTAATTATAAGGAGAGCATAGATACATAATTGAACATTTTAAATATAGGATGAAAGTAGTACTAATAAAATTCATTTATTAGTAAATATAGGATAAAGATATAGAATCAAATGTGAATGTTTCATTCCATTTTAATGGTAGAAAGTATAGTAACCCTAGAAAGATACACAATTTTCTTGCCACTATTTGCTTTTTCAGC